GAAACCCGACTCGACTCGGCGAGTTGGACCCTCAACTCGTCGAGTCTCTCCTTTAATCACAAGATTAACCTACACCATAATACCTCTAAAAATCCGGATGTTACAATTTCATTCATTTGTGACAAATATCAATGTTTTACATTCAAAAGTCATTCATCTTATTTCAGAGTATATGCGGAAACAGGTTGCCAATGTGTGTGTACAGTCGAGCTGCCCTTCTTACTATCTGATGGAGTACCTGAAAATATTTAATATCAATTGGGTAAGAGCTAGGCTTAGTGAGTTCCCCCAATATACCATATAACAATACAAATTCATGCATACAAATAATGTGTATCTTAGACTTACGGCATGCACGCCATTTCGTCTTCAACACGGGTCTACATGTACTTACAGCCTACACACCATATCGTTCACACATGTCAATGTGTACTTATGACCTACATGTCATTTCGTTAACACGTGGGCGTATAGGCTTTCAACCTCCTTGTCATTCCACCATCATCCGCTAACTAATTTGCAATAACTTTTAAGCATATCAACAATCAAGCACATAGATATTACTTATTCGGCCCTACATGCTCATAGAAAACTATACTATGGGCTCTACACTACTGGTTCCTATATCTTAACACACACACACACACACATATATATATATATATATATATATATATATATATATATATATATATATTGGAATACATAATATAGTCAGATGAACTCACCTGGACAGTTGCTCTGATACCAACAACAATCTACTAATGATCCAACTGACAGCAACGTACCCAACGAGTATTAATCTATAATACTACCTCTTTTTAGATACTAGGTAAATTTGGCAATGTGGGTTAGACCTATCACTAATCCCAATGAATAATGATATTTATATCAAATAAGGATCGGTCAGGCATGACATTTGGGAGACAGGATCATTTCGGCGTATAGCCTTTCTGAAATCCTACAACTGCCAACATGAATATTCTAGTCACCTCACCCGTAAATAGTCAATCAGTATTATATCTTGGAATTACTGATAGTTCTTATTTATAATGTTAAATGTTACTCGAGCATTTGGAGCATTCTCATGGATCATTTAGAGCATTCTCATGGAGCATTTGGATCACTTAGATCTCAATGGAGCACTAAAGGCTCATGGAGCAAGTGACAAAGGAACGAATCATCTGAGATGACTTTGGATCATCTGACAAAGGAATGAATCTTCCACAAGGGGGTTTGGAGCAACTTGGAGTGATTTGGAGAAACTTGGAGTGGCTTGGAGCAGCTTGGAGCACTTGTAGAAACATGGAACATCATGTTGCGCCATGTAGAAGGAAGTTGTGCCATCCTTGGGGATGTTGCACCAAATGATAGCATGATGTGCCATCATGTCTGAAGTTACGCCAAGGTGATGTTGAGCCATGGAGATGTTGATCGATGCCGATGATGTTGCTCCATCAAGAAGGGAAGTTGTACCATGAAGGAGCTTATTCAGCAGATCAGGCATAGACTGCAGACCGCTCAGAGTCAACAGAAGAGCTATGTCGACTAGCGGCGATCAGAGTTGGAGTTTCATGTTGGCGATATGGTGCTCCTGAAGGTCTCACCCTAGAAGGGTGTGATACGCTTCAGGAAGAGGGGGAAATTTGTTCCCCATTTTATTGGACCTTTGAATTAGAGCAAGAGTACAACCACCTATCTCTTTTGTTGGTTGTGTACGACCATGTTTTTGTCTGATTTTGTGTTGGTAGCAGCCTGTATTGTGAAAGGAATTGTGTGTTATAAAAGGGTATTGCTCGCGATGTGTTTGGTTAGTGATTAAGAGGGATGTTTATTAGATTACTGTAAGTTGGTGGGTTGATGGTTGAGTACCTTTAGGACCCTATGGTGCTGGCCATGAGTCTTCAGGACAGTGATGCATAAACGACGAGGTCGATGTAGTACCATGATCTTATCGTTCTAATGGCCTGAGGGTGTCACGATGTATCGTGAACCAGTGGTTATATGATTCACATGGGTGTGACTCGGTAGTCATTTGATTGAGACCCTTAGGTCTCAGATCGTTAGTCTTATTAGTATGTTTAGGTGTTAGTGTATTGTTGGGAGTCGGGAGACTCAGTGACCAACCGATTTGGATCATATGGACAATAAAATTTTCTTGGGAGTATTATTTGTTCATCAGAAATCTCTTGCTGAACATTTGCCTTTGGGTCTCTACTTGCTCATGGGAGCAACGAGTTGGTGATGACTTGTGTAACACCCGGTTTCAAATCGCTTCATTATTTTGGGGCTGCGGTCCGATCATCAGTTATCATAAGGCTTGGGATCTTGGGAAAGAAAGGATTTGGCCCTTTTTGGATGAGGGTGTTAAGGTCTAAGTGATCCGAGTGTTCGATGATGTTTCGGAACCCAAGGGCATAATCGTAATTTGTTAACTTAGTCCTTTATTAAATTTTGGACTTGGTTTGAGGAGTTTTAAGGCTATGATGGGTTGCTAGAAGTGTATGGCTTCTCGTCACCTTTCCGTGGATATAAAGTTCGTCGGAAACGAATTTAGATCGAGGAAGTTATGGTCTTCAGTGTGTTTAGGGTTTAAGAGGGAACCCTAGTACGCGAGGCGTACCAAGGGAGTACGCGGGGAGTATTTTTGTGGAGGTCAGTACGCTTGGCGTAAATTGGTGTACGTTAGGCGTACTTCGAAGGGTGGTATGAGAGTGCGAGGCCTTGTACGCTGGGCGTACGAGGGTAAGTAAGAAAAACCCTAATTTTTTGTCGTGCCTATATAAGCTTTATGGTAGCCTCTTTTGATCATTTCTAAGCCAGCCTTCATGCTCTAAAAACCCTAATTCGACCCCCTAGACCATGTTGGTGATCTTAAAGCTCTTATGAGATTTTGTGGAGGGTTTTGTGGATCTAGAAGAAGAAGGAGAAACTTGAAGATTTGTTCTTTGAAGGAAAGCTTTGAGATCCAACATTTACATCTCCTTTTGGTGGCTTGGGAGGTATAAAGTCTAAACCTTGCCTTTTCATTTCATGGACCTTATTCTCGGTTCATTTTGACCCTTTTGGTGGCTTGGGAGGTATAAAGTCCAAACCTTGCCTTTTGGTTGTGTTGGGCCATATTGGGCCATCTGGATTTTATGGTTGGGCTGTTGTGACTTGTTGGACTTTCTTGGGTGAAGGCCAGCAAAAGGTATTCGGCCCAATTTGGAAAATTGGGCTATATTTGGGCCTTAGATGTTTATTTTGGATTTTGGGCCTTTGGTCATCTAGTTTGGGCCTTGGCTTTGGACCAAGCTTGGAGAAGGGTAAAAAGGTCTTTTACCCTAATTTGGACTCATAGTGTGAGTCAGGGGCTAGATGTTGATGGGTTGTCATTGTGGTATTTGATAGTGCGTGGATTTTAGCAGATCTGCAGTCAGAAATTATTTGTGGGATCAGCTGTTGATGGGGTGTTGTCTTGATATTGGCGGTTCGGGGTTCTGTCAGCCAGCAGCCAGGGATCATTTGTATGATTCGGCAGTGCGAGGTGATTTTTCCTCACTGTACTTACGGGTCGAAGGCGCCAAGGCTGACCCATTGGTTGGATAACCTGATATTGTCGATATGTTGAGTATGGAATAGATATGCATGCTAGTCTTGATATGCTAGTCTGGTAGATCAGTAGGACTACTTATGATTCTGTCTGCATGATTACCCGTATATGTTTGTTAGATGTCGTCATATTGTGTTGGGTTGAGGTTGTACTGCTTCGTGTTGTAGCCAACAAACCTTGGAGCATCCCAGATATGAGCTGAGGGTCGGGTAGGGCATGCCATACTCATACTGAGGGCTCAGGTGCATCCAGATACGAGCTGAGGACCCGGTTGGTATGCAAGACTCCTACTGAGGGCTTGAGGGTATTGGAGCAATCCAGATATGAGCTGAGGGCCAGGTAGGGCATGCTAGACTCTTACTGAGGGCTCAGTAACATTCCAGATACAAGCTGAGGACATATTGGTATACCAGACTCGTACTGAGGGCTGAACATTGGTATTCCAGTCCGATGACTGATTGGGTTGGGAGCAAGCCAGACATAAGTTGTGGGCCCCAGGAGCAAGCCAAACTTATGTTGTGGTCTCAAGAGTAGGTCATATATGAGTGTTGGTACTTTAGGCAAGCCAGACTCATACTGTGGGCTCAGGGGTAATCCAGTCTTTTAGCTGTGGACCCAGTACATGTTGTTGTTGTATATGTGCTAGTTGTTTGTGTGTTGGTCACTACTAGAAAAACAGCCTTTTACGACGCGCAAATGCGTGTCAAGGAAGGCCCTGTCATAACGAGAGACAACACGCTTTTGCGTGTCGTCTATAGACGACGCGCATTTACGACACGTATTTATGACACGCATTTACGACGTGCATTTTACAACACACAATGCGTATCAAGGAAGGCCCTATCATAAAGGAAGACGACACGCATTTGTGTGTCGTAACCTTATGACGCACGTTTAGGACACTCATTGCATATCATTAAAGCCCCTGTCATAAATGAAGATGACACACATTTGCGTGTCATAAACTTCATGACACGTCTTTATGATACTCATTTACGCATAATACAAAAATATGGAAACAAATATATACCAAAACAATCATGTCAAAAAAAATTGTAATACATTGGTATTAAGGGGATCAGATTGTACATTGTTATTAAGAGTTTTTCCCTATCTATATAACCTAATACTACATTGCTATTAAGGGACATCTTCTTGTTTCTACTTATTGTTATGCTTCTGCTTCCACATGATACATGTTTTCATCATAAACACATTAGTATTCAGAAAGGCTACAAGCATCATCAATATATGTTATAAAAATATTAAAATTTAATACGCATGTAGTAAAATACCTTTTGCCAAGAATCCAGGCTTCAATAACAATCTCTTTTTCTTCAACAACCGCAGGCACTTCATCAATAGCTTTTTTAGCTGCCTCTCTTTCCTTTACAGCCAATGCATTTTATTCATCAAGTTTCTTTTGTGCCTCTTGTGCTTTTGCTTCATCAAGTTTCTGAAGTTTCATCGCCTCTTGTGCTTTTGCTTCTTCCAAATCAGTCTGGACACGTATGACATATCACATTAAAACTTTTCCAACAAAAGTTGTAATATTTCAACATAATTGACTAAATTACCCTTACACGTTTATCAAGTTGTAAACGCCATGCTAGTTCCTCCAATTGTTTCTCAAGCTTATCTTGTGCTTCTTTAAGTGCACCTGTTTCTTATGCAGCTTGCAAAACTGATAAAGCTAGCAACTTTGAATTTTCCCAAAAAAGAAAGTAACATCATGAATATGATTTAAAATATATTACAGATACATGTATGCGTATTCACAGTCATACATCATCAATAGTTTGATCTTGAGATTGAGAAGAATCTGAGTCGGATAGGTTTGGATCTTTGAATCTTGTTGAGCCTAGATTTATTTCTTCTGATAATACTCCCTGGAACTTACAGCTTCTTCTGATTCTGCAGACTTCATGCCTTGAGTCAAACTATCACTCTGACTCTCCCCATTGTTGCTGCTTTCACCTACAAGCTTCCTGCATTGCCTGCGCAATTTCTCGTACTTCTTTCTGCAACATATAAAAACCTTGCTTTTGCTTTGCTTTATGAAAATAAAAAAAATAATTATATATTATAATCAAAGTGGCAGGGCGTACCTCCCCTGAGTTCTTAGTTTTGTCTCTTTCTTCTTTGCAAGTGTTGAGCTCATAACTATTAAAAACAAAAAAAAGTACAAAGTTTGAAATGAAAGAAGAAACAAAATTTGGAAAGGAGATATTATTATACTTACACTCCAAGTAGGGAAGGCCAAACTCCGTACCCGATACTTGCATCCATTCCCTACAACAAATCAATTATATGTGAGAAACTAAGTACTGGATTGAAATGAAATGTTGTGACTGTGACTGTGAGTAAGGAATAGGCACATGCAATGCATACCCCACTGCGAACTTTTTTCAAAAATTTAACACCATCTCGAAGTTTTCCATCTGGTGTAAACAAATTTCTCCACTGTTGGGGAGTGAATACATGTTTTCTTTTCCTTCGTGACCATGGTGATTTCAGACGCACCCTGTCATTAAATAATATGAATATGTCAGCTCAGTGATGCAGTTTCATGTAACTTTTGTAGAGTGTGTTCTGATAAAGTAAATTCTATCAAGGTAAGATTATGCATGATCACATGATAGAAAGCATCAAGTATAAGATGACAACAAATGGTTTACTGGTTCAGCATTCTGAAACCAAAGACCAAAAAAAATAGGTTCCAATCATCAACTCATACTTTAAGGCTTTCATTCCAAACTAAGTAACATGGTCCAAAACTTAAAAGTCAAATTAGGTGAAAACTTTTTACAGCCAAGAAAAATGAACATATACATTATACATATGAATGGATTTCTGAAATCTTAATAACGATTTTGAAAATGTAGTGGAGAAATAATGCATGCCAAGTATATGAAAGCATTAAGGACATATAGATTTATATATGTTCAATGTTGTAACTGTAAGAAGCCATTAAAATGTGAATCACCAAACTACCCATCAAACTATATGATTTAAAATATATTACAGATACATTTATGGGTGCTGGAGTTTTTGTCCTTACTGGAGAAGTTGCTCATGATTTGGCTGGTCCAGCTGTTCTTCTATCCTACCTAATCTCAGTTTGTGCTGATCTTCTCTCTGTCATCTGCTACACCGAGTTTGTAACTTACTCTCTAAAAAAGAAAAACCAACTGTAAAACCAAAAAAAAGCATACAATATTTTTTATTAATTAAATAATTATGAGAAAACAGAATAATCATTAATCATTAATCATTAATCACCTTTGTTGGCATATCAGGTGAGAACCAACGTAACAATACTCCAAGATGAACAACCGCCGGAATTAGCTTAAAAAGAAAGGGTGTCGTTACGTGCACAAGTAAAAAAACCATAAAGGCACAAGGGCAATTTCGTCATTTCACCATATTCGTGTCTAAAAGAGCGTAACCTTCCTTACCATATAATCTAAAAGATCGTTTTTTACATGGAATAGAGACCTATTAATCAAATTATAAATAAATTCAATAATTAAATATTCAGATCCAATAACTAATTAAAAAGAATTTTCAATTTTCAAAACCTTTGAGACATCTTCTGAGAGCTTAATATGTGGCTGGTTGTTAATCTCAACAAGCTTAAAAACACAACCTAATGTAGCTTGAGCATAACACGGCACCAAATAGGTCCCGATTCCAAACGCATCCACCTCATGACCCTGAATTTTTTTAATTATAATTCTATTTTAAAATTTATGTTAACTTTTTTTTATATAAATAGTTTTTTTGAATTGATATATAAAGTTTTGTTGGCTATTTGAAGTACATATAGAATATGTATCGAACAACATTAAATATATGTTTATATTCCTTCGAGTCAACCAAACATGACAATGGAATGGAATGATTGATTCCAAAGGAATGATCCATTCCATTCCAATCAATCTCTGATTCCGACATACCAAACACAACCTAAGAATTAAAAGTCTATAAAAAGCTTGCCTGTTTGTTTAAAGCATCCAAAGTTTCTTCATTGAGGTCATTACTAGTAGTGATTCCAGTCTTTCCAAACCCCGGAACTCCAAATTCCATTCCAGTTGTTTCAAAGAACTTTCTTTTCTCACATGAAATATAAGTAAGATCACCGCTCTTTCCTGGTGTCACTAACAAATGTGTGAGGTTCCATAGCTGAACTCTTACAATAAGAATAATATGGGCTAGAACCATCTTCTATTGTATGATTCTTCTATTGTGTGATTAGTGCAGCTAAAAGAAACATAATAAAAACATTAATAACTTTATAATCTATAAAATCAGAGAAAAAGGCTGTTACTACTTAAGGAAAAGGGCAGAAGAAAAGATATAAGAGCAGTGGTCTGCACCTTGTTGTAGATGAAGGGTTTTGAGCATTCTAACACTCCTATGGTGTACATGCAATCCTATAAACCTTGGATCTATGTTTTCTCT